CAGCTTCCTCATACAAGAGGCAGGTAAAGGATGTACTTACTCATTCCTCCCCATCTGATGGGGAACAACTGAAATTATTATTATATTCATTATTAATGTTATTATTATATTCATGCCTCAGGCTTGTGAACAACTTGTGCTATTCTCAGCAGTGCAACAGTGTTGTAATGTGCTAAGGGTTTGTTTTCAGTGCTTTTAGCAAAGACAAAAAACCCCAAACAAATCAAACAGGTTTTTAAATATTTTTTTAATACTTTTTAAATACTTTTGTTGCTAACAAAAGTAAAAAAAAAAATTGTTTTAACACATGAGTAAATTGTATTGTTCTCTAATAATACTGAAAGGTTCAATTTCACTTCATTTGCAGGCAATCAAAATATTTAAAACAAAATGCATGGTAGGAAATGGTGTGTATCAGGTATCACCCACTGTCCTCTCAGAAAGCATTTGCAACTATATTCCTGTCATACAATGAAATACTTTGTGGCTGTGTGGTTTTCTGTTGTTGTGAAGCTTTTTAAAAGCATGATAAGGCACAAGAAGAAAAGTGTTTTTTAAGGTACTTCCTTGGGCTCCATAGTTCTGTAATCAGTTCCATGAAATGCCCTCAAGCTTGGTGGGTTAGCATCACTGACAGCCTCGTCAACTTCACCTGCTGGGCTCCTTTTTCTGCTCATATATCGGCCCACAGAGCTCCTGCAGCAATACTGATGCACATAATTTACCTTCTGCAACCAAACCTCATTGAGATACTCTGCCCAAAGTTTTTCCACTGGTCAATACCACACACTAAGCTACAAAGCTGCATCTTCTTTTCCTCAATGGGAAAGTAAGTGACAGGCTGGGTACCCTCAAAGTCACTTGTTTTGCCCTTGAATAGCACCAAATTTTTGTGCTGCTCCTGGAAAAACTTCATGATCTTACAGGGATAAACTCACTCATTTCTCCCAGCAACTCCATGTAATGGTAGTGAGATTTCCTGTTATCCACAAATACTCAGTAACAAGGTCACATATCTCGCTTGGCAGACTGCTGGTGAGGGAGAAAGGACAAGGAAAATTACACAGGAAAGGAAAACCAAATGCTTCTCCCAATCCAATACCACTCCAAGTCCACTTAGTCACACCAAGTGCAGCAAGACACATACCTGCAAGCCCTGAGCAAAGGCACCCACAGAGATTTCCCCACCTCAAAGTGACCTTATTTTATTATCACCAGTGCAGAGCTGCTAACATTTGTAATCCCAGCACCTCTGTTAAGTACTTGTGTAATTGTTACTCCAAAGCTAAAAGCTGGGGAAAAAAAATCTTTTCCCTTAGCACTGCATAACAGTGCTCCCAGGAACATGTACACAGTAGGGAACCATCTGCCTACCCTGGTGGTATTTCTTTGTTCTGAACACCATCAATGACATTTCACTGTTACAAAGTGAAAAAAAAACAAAACAGCTAAGCAGCCCCACCAACCAATATCAGCATACTTTACTGCCCACTACCTTGTTGTAACCTCATATTTGGGGGTAATAGAGGACATTTATGGACACTGAGTATCAGCAATGCAGATCGTGCTTATATCTGCAGCCAGTGTAAGCAATGTAGCTGTTTTTAAACAGCCACTCCTGACTTCAGGTCATTAGAAATGCCATTTGAAGTGGCAAGTGGAATCTTCTACACCTGCTGCTGTAGGTTCAGAAAAAATGCTCATATTGCATGGTTCAGAAAATAAAAAAAAATTTGGAAACGGAATATGATCCATCTTTGAAAGGAATGAAAAAAAAAGAAAAAAGCTACCTAAGTTTTGTGGGAAGGATTTAATGGACATAAATGTTTGCAATTAAAAAATTTAAAGAAAACACTTTGGTGTTTTTATGTAAACATTCCCCTGCTGCCTTGGAAATACTGACACAGCAACAGTGCACTAAGACATTGCAGAAAATAAAGTATTCCTTAAAGTCAAGAAAGAGCTACAACCACCAAAAAAGGTAAAAATACTTACTGAATTATTTCAAGTTTACAAATAGTAAGATATTGTAAACATGTTTCTGCTATTTAAATCTCTGCTGCTCTTTAGCTGATTGGCCAGTAAACTGCTAAACTACACCAATGTCAAGTGGTTTTGATGAGAATTCCCAGGTGAAGGAAAAAAAAATATGCTGGACCCAGATTTTATAAATCAAAATGTCCTTTATGTGTTAGGCTGAGGCATGCTAAACTTGATGATAGGGCAAAAACCAAACCTGTGTACCAAAACAAGAGGGGAAAATAAGATCTTTATAGTTTCTCCAGCTAAGTTTTCAGAGATGTAATCTCTCCATGGGAAGAGTTACCAAAACCACTCCCACAGACACTATCAATTGTTGCAGTCCCTGTTAAGCCTATGACCTGAAAAGAAGTTTGGTAACTTCACTAGGCAACATTTCCACCACCACCAAGGCTGTTAGAACTGAGTCACATCACTTCCCTCAATGGTTACAACAGTCTCTGTGGCTTTTGGGTTTGATTTTACCAGAAAAAAATGCTGCCAATGTCACTGCCTTCTCAAAACCACACAAACCTTGCAGCTAGCGGAGGAGCCTCCTGTGTGTTTTCCACCCAGCCACACTTAGACACGCTCTGACTTCCTTCATGCATGTTTGCCCATGCAAATGGGCAAAAGGCTCCGTACATACAGACTGGCTGATCAGACACTGCCCTCAGAACACGTCTGCTGTACTCACCAGATTTTTATAAAGAAGATAACCAAGTTGGTAAGATGATTCGAGACAGCAGAAGATGGGAAAGCAATGTTTGAGGCTTAAATTGGAAGTCACACTGAGTAACTGAGAAGATCTCATTAGAGACTGGAAGTAATTTTGCTCAACTGCAGATGCAACTGGCTACCTCATATGCAAAACATTCTGATCTTTAAAGACACATCCATGTACTAATAAGGCCAGAAGAATAGTAACAGCCTTGTCGTTTCAGATGCTTGGAATACCTCAAACTGAACTGCTGTACACAGGTGGAAGTTAGAAATCCCATTTATTTGACTACTTCTGCAACAGCTCAACTTTGAATGCCCCCAGCACATCAGCTTACTTACAGAATTACGTATTTTTATCTTAGTCTTATCCCTATGTTGCAGCTTGTTTTGTGCTGTCAGAATCACACTGCACTAGTTTTGATTTGTTCTTTGCAATAACAATGCATATCAATCCAGCACATGAAAAAGCATACCTGTGGGAGAAAAAAGCTATCCTGCTAGATATCCCCAAAAATAAACTTATTTGAAATTACTCCTCAAAAGTATTCTCCTTAATTCTACTTAACTGAGAGAAAACTGTTTTTACATAACTTGCCCATCCTCCCAAACAAATCAAGTCTCACACACTTGATAAATATTCCTAACTGGAAATTCCATCAGTCTTAGTGAAAAGCTCTGCCTTGTACCTTTGTACAAATGCCCAAAATCTTTTGAGCAAAGCATAAGAAAGTGCAACTACACCAAAAACATCCCCCCACACTATGAAATAGCACAGAGAAACAGTAGTTATAGAAAAATAACTTCTGTGTATTGCTGTTTTCCACTGCAGATCAGTTACCCCAAGAGTAACAGGATCATGGTTCAGCCCCAAGCCTCTCTCCAAGTGTGTGCTCCAACGTCACACAGCACGTAGCTATAGTTATCCCCAGTGTCAAGGACAGAGGCAAACCCATGCAGTAACTCAACTGCTGAAATTTGAAAAAACCCCTTGAAGTCCAACATTTTCATAAGAAACTAGTGTAGAAGGAAATTTCCTGCAGAATCTTACAGCACAGTGTGGTGGGTTTAGAGCACACAGCACTGAGAGGCAAAGCACACATGCAACAGTAAACCCTAAAGCAAAGATGCACAAGTACCACAGTGAAATTGCAGGGTGGCTCAAAGAGAGTGAGGAAGAAAAACAGCAAAGGGAGGAGGTCCCACATGTTTCCAAAACATTGCAGCCAATAAAATGAAACATAATTTCATTATGAAAGCAGGCAGCAACTTTAAAGCAGCCACTGACACTGGAGAGCAAGGTAGAGCTCTGGCAATTCTCTACAGCAGACATGGAAAACAGGGTGGTCTAACCCAGAAACAGTAGCAACCAAGAGACTAGGAGGTGACAGAGTGCCAGGAAGGGCACCAGACTGTATGAAAGCTGGAGAGAGTAACAAACAAACCCAAAACATTCTTGGCAGAAGGACCCAGCAAAGAACATTAGGAAGTGTTTTAGACTCCAGCTGGCCATGCTGCTCCCAAAGAGGATGCAAAAACCAAAACTGTTGCTGCTTTGCTGCTCTGAGTCTCTAGGTTAAGATTCAACAGTTGTACAATTTATCAGGGAAACAGATGAGACCAGTTTTTGCTCACCCTTCCTCACTCCACATCCACCTCTTCCCAGACCTCTCCCCAAATCCTGCCACTATTACAGCACTTGCTCAGGCAGAGATGCCTGAAGTGATGCAGCAGCCATGTGGTTCATGTAGCAATGATGGTAACAAACACAGCACAGCCCAGTGAGTAACCAACTTCTGATTTCTTAAAACAGGAGGGCAAGAGAAAAATGGCATGAGTGATCTGATGATTGAGCTTAAGCCCCTTCTTGAAAACAATAAGTATTTTTGTAACACGCGTAAAAATGCTCTATATTCTACTGTACCAAGTGCAGGAATCGCAGCATTCACTAGATCAGTTTCAGTTTGGAGGCCATTAAGATATGGGTATTTTAGTACTGAAGCTATTTCATTTTCAAGGCCTGGTTTGTTCTATCACTGTGTCAAAAACTGGCAGATGAATAAGCTACAACAATTACAGCTACATTATGAAGTCTTTATACAAAATATTGGAAGAAAATTCCAAAGGCTGATTTATTTTCACTTGTTAGTTAAAATTCAGTTGTAAATTGTGTAAAAAGTCAGATGATAGAAAAAAAGTAAATACAAAATAGAAGTAGCAATACAAGAACAAGGGAGGAAAAAACCCGATAAGATTAAGAATAGCATTTAAATATAAAAATTTATTTAGGTGAAGTCACAAACAGTTTGATATCAATTTACAAACACTTTATGTTATGCATATTATTGGAAATATTGAGAAAGGGAGAGGAGATAATGGCAGCTTTTTCCTGAAACAACTAAAGGCAAACCCTTACCATCATGCGCATTACTGGATCATATTATTACCTTGACCATACCCCTTAGTATGTGATGAAAAAGGAGAAGAAAACAAAATACTGAGATGCAGAATGAAAACCATGAATCAGTGAAAAAGATTTTCATGAACACCAGACGAGAAAGGTCTAGTCTGATGGTCAGGATTTTAAGTATTCTACCAGGATAAAAACAGAATTATAACTTAGGTAAATCATTATAACTGACGAAGAATTTTGTAATGCACTATTGGGCTATCCAGCAATGACAGCAATGGTTAATGCAGAACAATGGAGAGAGGACACTGAGCCTCACAGAATAATTCTGTTGACAACCTGAGTTATTATCCCGAGTGTATGATATACTTTTTTGAGTCAAATACACATTTATGTTGCAGATACTCCCAGTGAAATGGCAAAAGTAACAGCTGTAACAAGACAAATTATGATTTATTTTTTTTAAACAAATATAATACATAGGGTTTTGAAGTGTCCGGTTGTAATCTGCAAAGATCCAGGATTGCACACAAGTTTGGTCAAATGAGAAAGTTTAATCTGTGCATTAAATTGGCTTTTACTTTCAAAGTAGTATTTTAGGGCAGGATTCTCCTCCAGGAGAGTGTTCCTGACCTCATTCAACCAGTGTTCAATTTATTCACCTTCCTGAATCTTTGCCCTCTTTGGATAGTCTGTGACAAGTGCTGCGCTGCAGGAATTCCTGTTTTCCAGCAAACTGGCTTGCTCTGCAGGTTTGTAGTCCATTGTTACAATTGCTGATTGGGTAAAATGAATTTCCTACGTCTTCTCTAGCACAGCTTGCAACGCAACAGAAGCAGAGGTAAAAGAATGCACTAGAATACCAGAGCTCCACTTAAACACCAACGGAGTCAGGCTGTTGGCACCAATAAGAAATTCTGTATTTAACAAATCTGCAAATATTTAAGATCCAAAGTTATTCAGTTTTATAAATAAACTCACCCACTTAGTCTGACTTCCATCCCAACTGGTCCTCTGTTTTCATGGAGTCTGGGGAAAAAAAGAGAATTGTCTGAAGTTATACATACAGACATAAATTTGCAGGAATCTCAGCTATTCTACACACGCGCCAATTATCATGCTCAAACTAAAACTATGGTTTCTCACTTTGTCTTTCCATGTAGAAAGTTAAAGCTCTTCACCAGTGCCTTACAAAGGACAGCTATCTTCAGACACAACACTTTGTATACTTCATTTCTAATGTTTAACCATTTGTGGAAAAGCAGAATTACAGAAACTAATGATGGACTAAACTAAACGATGCTGAAATTCAAGGAGTCTTGGACTAAAAAGGGGAATGAAATCCACTCAGGCTGCCTAACTCTATCCCTCAAAACTACAGAAACAAAATCAGTCCAAACCAACAATCTGAGAAAAAAGATTTTTGTAAAACACCTTCTCTTCCTCTTGACAGCATGAATGTGGAAAAGCTTAGGTTCTGTCCAAAGTCTTAAGCCCATAAAAGGCTCTTCTCTCCCACTTTAATTCTCCACTTCTTTTGCCCATGTGTGACATTACATCTTATTTTGCTGCAGTAGTTTTACACAACATAAACAGAGCCTGCAAGGAGTTGGGGAGATATGGGGAAACACAAAGGTCACCTCCAAGAAAATACTTCCTTGCTGCAACCTTGGCAATGATAAACTCATGCTTTAGCCTAGGCCTGAGCTACATCTGACAGCTGGTCAAACCATCATTTCATTTAAAGACATGTATAAACAGCTATAAGAGACTATATGCTACCAATTAAAAACCGCTTAATAACAGAAAGGTGGCTGAAAACACAATTAATTGCTCAAGTTTTACTTTTTCATTATGCTCCTAAAGCACTACTCATTTCACAAACATTAAACTTTTGGTATTTTGTAACAGTTAAACATGTTTATTTTTTTCTTTATACACTTTCTGGGGAAAAAAAAATACAGCAAAGCCACTGATAAAAATCAACTAGGAAATTTCCATTAAATCAAAGGGGATCGAGTCCCCTGGTGCCTCAGCAGACAACCGAGCAAAGCTCAGCACTGACAGACCAGCTGCTGTGGGAGAAGTTACAAGAGTGGTTAACATGACAAGCTGAAGGTCCCCATCTCAGATGACATGAAAGCTATAAGCCATTGCCCATCTGGTACTCACATAAGATCAGCAGAAAAACAAGAACTAAGCCGTTTACCTTGAAAATGGAAAAATGTAAACAGACATATCAGAAAGAGTTGCAGAACACAGAGCATCAACCACAGAAGGTGCAAGGCCAACAGGCCCGGGTTTATCTCTCTTACTGTGTGGTGTTTGCTCCCTTTCTTTGTCACAGGTTGGCCTACAGAAGTTACTTTTGATAGGTACCAAAGGCAAGACCTGGTGTGACACACCAAGCACTTTCAGATGCCTTGAAAAGGGACCAGGCTAACATGAGCAAAAGAACTTAGCCCCTCTATGTGGGTAATCCCAGGGAAGCACAGCATCTGATAAATTAGGAAAAATTCTTATGGAAGGTAAAGGTTCTTTCTATAGTTGTAAAAAAAAAAAAAAATTGGTTAGAAACAAACAGCCAATATAACAAAATCTCATTCAGCTGGCATGAAATTCTGCATTCAGCATTTTCTGCGCTGAGGATTTGGCAGACTGCAGTCACCAGTGTAAGAGAAGCAGCACAACCCCTCATACAGACAGGCAAGCCCTTTGTAGCTGTGGAGCTGTGTCATGCCTCAGGCAGGAGAAAGGGAGGCCTGCTGCACCCACCACAGGCTGTACCAATTCATATAGTGATGCCTATACTGAAAGCAAAACAAGTTCACAAGATCCTCCCTACTTCTCCTAATCACACTCATGTTTTCCCACAAAACAGGCTTAACTTGTGAATTAAATCTAGTGAGCCCCAAAACAGGCTTAATCTTCAAATCACGGCGAATTTGCACACTGTGGCCATTCTCATTGAAGTTGATCTTTATTCGTATCAATTTTTTGCCATCCCACACTGCCTGCAACTGCCCATATGCTCCCATAGTAACAGGAGAGTCTGTACTCTTTGCCTTACATACAGGTAACTGTATTGCTGAGAAAGTTGATTTTTTTAAGACAACTCAGAGGAAAACAACAAAACCACACAACATCTTTCTTCTAAAGTCTTCAGGAAAATGCAAAACTATACCAGAAGAAGGAATTAGCGGGGTTCCTATTTTCTGGTGGCCGGAGCAATAAATGCTCAAACATTTGCTCAGAGCATCCATCCACGTGCACACCTCTCACGGTGGCCAGCTGGGCACCCATGACAGCATGTCCCTATGGTCAGCACGTGCAAAGGGTCAGTGCCACGAGAAGAGAGCTGCCGACCAAGACCAGGGCACCCCCTTTCTCCTCTTCCCGTCCGAGGAAGCACCATGCCCAGCCAGCGGAGCAGAGAAACACGCGGCCATCGGCCCATCACACCTGGCTTTTCTCCTCCTGCTTGGGGCTCTGGCCCGGCGGCGGCGGCTGGGCCGGCGAGGCCTGTGTGTCGCTCTCAGCACGCGGGCGCCTGGGGACAAGAGACTTGAGGGGCGCCATCCACTTCATCCACAGGTCCAAGTCGACGTCCCCCCAGGGCAGAGAAGGGTTCTTGGCCGCCCGCCGCCGAAAGTCCTCATCGTAGTTCATCCAGGACGTGCCCCCGTAGGTGGCGTGCAGCTTGCGGATGGTGTCCAGGTACTTGAACATGGCTCCGCAGCGCGCCGGGTGCTTCTCGCACAGCACGCTGGCGTACACCAGGAAGGCCGAGACCCACTGGTCCAGCGTGTCCCCCGGGCGCGGGCCGTGCTCGGGGGCCAGCTCTGTGTGGAGCAAGGAAAAGAGGTCAATGAACTCCCCCCGCCAGATCCGCTCCTTGGTGGCCTTGGCCAGCTTGTAGCCCAGCGGCCGCCGCAGCCCCACGTAAGGGGTAGCCGCCGCCTCGGCCTCGCCCTGCCC